CCCACAGTCCAGCAATTTCTAAAAACACTATCTGAGAACTTCTTCAAGGCCTCAGACTCTCACTCTAATCATTTCATTCGTGAGGCAGTTTCCTATGCAGCCCCACTCCCCTCTCGCTATCAAGTCCGAACACCAAGAAACTCTCTCACAGACCCCCTAAACAAGCTTTCGCCGACCTAAACCGCCTCCTGGCAGCTCAGGCCGACCTTAATTTGCCTTAGTTAGGCTCCCCTCTCAGCGGCTCCTCGCCGCCTGCGCCCCTTTTTCCCTAAAGAGGGTCGCTTCCGATTCGGCAGAAAGGCCACAAAAGCCAATGCCAGTCTCACAGGTGGTGTTTAGTGGGTAGGCACTTTCACAGTGTTCGCAGTGAGTCCCACATAAACACGGCAGCCGGCTGTCGTGGTATGCTTAGAGCATTCACCACCTCCGTTCCTCGCTTCCCGGAGGGTAGCCCTTTCCATTGCATCTGGACGCAAAAAAGCGACCGAGTCAGTATTGAATTGGCAATACAAGCAAATACTTCGATGTAATACAACTGCGAACTAAAATATCATTTTCAGTTGTAATTAGTGTTCTGTAATTAAAGTGTCAATTTTGGTAATTAACTCGGCAGTTTTTAATTGTCTCGAACCCCAAGCTCGTAACAATTGGTATCAGAAGTGGCATCAAATCATGCCGATTTTACCTAAAAACGACACGGTGAGTATCCGTACCCGAAGTCAACGACAGCAGGAGATGGACCAAAGACGATTTGGTTGTGCAATGTCGTAGACGTCGGAGGGCCAGTTGCCGACCACGGAGTCCGGCCCGTCAACAGCTCCTGCATCTGCAGCACCTGACTAAGGTGCTCTGATGATGATGCTGCAGGCCCGCCGGTTGGAAGAGGAGCTGCAGCGCGGTATGGAATAGCAGATGCTCTTCATGAAGGACCTTCACGCTACCTTAGGGGAAGAGATAAGGGAGGTGAAGGATAGGGTTGCTCAACATGACAACCGCCTGTCGGAAGCTGAAGCCCGAATCAACCAAGTGAACAATCGGATTCATGACGTTGTGGCTGACGTGAAGAAAATGCTGGATAACCTTAAACCTGGGGGTGGAATTACAGCTCCCGTGGTAGCTACAACACCTTTGCTACGTGGAGTCAAAGTGCCGGCGCTCAACGGGATTTCTTCCTGATCGGCCTACAAAATCCAGTTCAACGCTGTTATGAAGCCGAACGGCTGGAATAAAAGTCAGGCCATGACTGCTCTCACACTGCGCCTGCGCGACCAGGCCTTAACTGTTCTGGAAGTTCTTGATAAAGAAGTGACTTACGAGCAGCTGTTTGAAGCATTGGAGGCGAGATATCGCGACGCTCACCTAGAACACGTCTTTCGTGCGTAGCTCAAAGATCGCGTGCAACTCAGCAACGAAAACCTGCAGCAGTGGGCCTTTGAGGTGGAGAAGCTGGTTCGAAAAACATACCAGTTTGTAACGGCGCTCATTGAAGGGAACCTAATGCAAACATACATTGACGGCATCCGCGACCTTGAAGTCAGAGTTGCTGTGAGGCTGGACACCACGAGACGCTTAAGGACGCCTTGGCCTATGCACTGGAGGTGAAAGCCGTGCGGCAAAATCATCTTTCCCATTGCATCATGGAGGTTGCAACAGGTACAGTTCGCGACCGCAATAAAGGATACAGCCCTAGGTGCTACGGCTGTGAGGAAAGGGGCCATCTTCGATCCAGCTGCCCTAAGCGAAATGTAGAAAGAGAAGGTAATCGATCTCGAGAGGGCAGTTCGTTAACAGCAACGCCCAGCACAGCAAGAAATCTCATGGCAAAGCAGATTTATTGTCAAGAAGACCTTGTCCCGAAGATTGCAAGCATTGTTCTAGGCAAGAGGGTAAGGAAGTAGTATCTGTGAGGATGCTCAGGACAGCCCAGCTCAACAATGAGTGGAAGGACAGCCTACAACACGCACAGAAGGAAGATTCGGACATCAAGCCGCTTCTGGAATGGATGAAGGCCAGTACTCCTAAGCCCAAGTAAAGTGACGTCTCAGCGATGAGTTTGACCACAAAAAGCTATTGACCCAATGGGACAACTTGCTGATTCAGGATGGAGTCCTGTACCATAAATGGGTAAATGGTCAGAGAGACAGTTGTCATTTGCAAATGGTTGTCCCTAAAGCTAAAGTACCGAATGTTCTACAGCTGTGCCATAATGGTTGTTGAGGAGGCCATCTGGGAGTTAAACGAACTCTACTTAAGATCCGAGAATTGTTTTACTGGATCTACTGTCGTGACGATGTCGAGGACTGGTGTCGCAAATGTACAAGTTGTGCGGCTGTAAAGGGACCTCAAACTCGTAGTAGAGGTGCATTGACATTGTACAATATTGGTACACCATGGGAGAGAATAGCCCTTGACGTTGCGGGACCGTTTCCGGAAAGTGAAAGTGGTAATGAGTATTTCATGGTTGTGGTAGATTACTTCACTAAGTGGCCAGAAGTCTTCGCCAATCCAAATCAAGAAGTTTCAATAGTTGCTGATAAACTAGTTCATGAATTCTTCTGTCCTTTTGGAGTATCTTTAGAGATTCACAGCGATCTAGGAAGTAATTTTGTGTCTTAAATACACCAGGAAACTTTCCAAGTTATGGATACTCATAAAACAAGAACAAATTCTTAACACCCACAATCCGATGGAATGGTAGAACGATTTTATCAGACATATAGAGGTACTAGCAAAAGTTGTGGAAAATCGGCAACGAGACTGGGACGAGCACATACAACTGTTTTTGTTGTCATATCGAAGCGCTGTTCACGAAAGTACATCAGTGACACCAGCTTTCGCAAACTTTAGAAAATTATTACAGCTGCCTGCAGACCTAATAATCACCGGAATACCACCTGATGCCCTACGCAGTATAACTGATTATGCAAATGACTTGCGGAACAAAATGAATGACATTTATAACCACGTCAGACAATCGGGCCAGCAAATATCTGAAAAGATAAAAACCCGATATGACCGCAAAATGATCAACAAATGGTTCGACGAATGTTCACTAGTGTGTTAGCTAAATGGGATGGACCGTACCGGATTGTGACAGCGATAAATGACGTAACCTACCGGATACAAAAAGGTGCAAGAGGTACTCCTAAGATCGTCCATGTGGATCGACTGGCACGCTATTATGGTGATCGGGACGAGTATGTATATTCCTAGTAAATGGCAACACTAGCTACCACTAGCGTCCTCTAGTATCGAATGGCAGAACTAGGAGAGTCAAGATCCTTCTAGAAAGTTTCATGGAAGAACTTTCTAGAACTATCGATACCTAGTCAATCGGAACCGGTATGTACTCAAACATTCTAGATGTTTCTAGAGTTGAAGGTTCTACAAATTGTTTGTGACCATATATAAGGCCGGTATAGATCGCGACCGAGTTAGTATTGAATTGGCGACACAAGCGAATACTTCGATTGTGTTTTATTATTAGTGTAGTTTTAAGAATTAGTGTTCGATTGTCTCGAACCCTAAGCTCGTAACAATAATATGCAACGACATCAAAATTTTTACAAAAACTTTAATCATAACTCTAATACTAATTCTAATTATATAAATCGTAGCTCAAATAATAATTCTTACTGAATAATATTTCGGATGCGCGTCTGCCGAAATCGTACTACCGTAACGACACAAAAACAATTAATAATACATACTATTTCCACGAAATTTTATAAAAATTCTTATGCTAAATCTTATTCTAATTCTAATTCATCTCAGCAATGCTTTAGCAATCAACCGAGTCATTCTAGTTCATTTACATCTGTGGGTTACCCTAAGAGGGACTGGGTCGTTCTAAATATATTACATCTCAGTGCCTGCAGTCTCGACATAGATAACAACGCAATTGCTAACTGCCGATTGTTAAATAATAACGTAAAAAAATGTTTGCCGTAACGATGCTTACGATAAATGCAAGTCTCGACAGCCGAGATACCGAACAAAATTCTGACATATCTTCACTTTATGATGTTGTTACGCTAACAAAAACGTATTCATAGTGCAGTGTTTTCTTAAAAAAATATTGGCTGTTAAAAAATCTCCTTGAATCACAGGGAAAATTGGTAGACATAATTTTATAAAAATAATTGCTTTTCTTTGAAAATTGTACAGAAACAGTAGGAACCTTATGTTATAAAAATATTTTTTATAGTAACTTACAAGCAGATTTTACCGTTTCTAAGAATTGAAGTAATTTGTTAAATATCAAAGGACCTAAAAGTTTGCCTCCTTGCAACACTGATGTTAATGTCAATCCAAAAAAAAACAAAACGGTCAGTTTTGATTTGACAACGTACCTAACGTATTTACTATTATAATAAAACAAAATATTTATATATTCCGATTTTTATCAAAGTTTATGATATATATATTATGTCTTCGATGGTGGGGGACACTGACGCAGGCGCAAGCCCGGTTTCGAGATGCGTTAAGTAAGTACAACTCGAATCTATCGTTGTTTATTGAATGGTTTGTTTAGAGACTGTAATTTTTGCATTTTTAATATTTACTTCTATGTATGTTTCAGACGTAAGCGTACATCACGCGCTACGAGTGGGCAGCTTGAGGCACTGTTGGCCATGTTAGAAGCTCGGCCATATTTATATACCAAAAAATTTAGTGGCCTGCGGGGCAGAGAAAACTATCAAACGGGCTGGAGGGAAGTTGCCGATGAGCTAAACCAACTTCCCAACGGAGCCGTCAAGACGCCTGAGCAGTGGATAACAGTTAAGTTTCTATCAAAGAATTTTCCAGATTTACTACTAATGGCTTATACATAAATCAGCCAGCACATTATGTAACTAATATTTACTTAAAATACATAATTATTTATTTTGTAGGTATGGAGAGACTTGAAATGCCGGGCCTGCACTAAAGCCGCAAAATTAAAACGAGAAAGGTTGCAGACCGGCAACCAAGGCATCACCACTGCTCCACTGACAGAGATGGAAAAAAAGATCGTGTCTCTTATAGGTCTTGAGTACACATTTGGCAGTGACTGCCCCGACTCAATGCCAGAGGAAGAAGTGAGTTCAGTAGTGGCTTAATAATTACTTATATACAATTTCATATACTTAATCAAACTTCGTAATCTTAGTTTTTGGTTTTAATGCAATTTACAATAATAAATACTTTTACTAATTATTATAGACATTACAACATGAGATGGAGGCTGGGATGGATATGGTGGAAGTTATTTCTTTGTCTCAATGTAAGTTTCTAAGAGAAGTATATTCAAAATATAATGTAAATTCTGTTGCACTTTAAATGTACTTACCTGCAATGTATTAAAACACAAATTTTAATTACAGGTAATGAATACAAGTTGCTTGAGACAGAGAAAGATCAAGCATTGCCAGCACCACAAATTAGTACGTTTATGTTATTTTTATTACACCTTTATTCATACCTCTCTAGATGATTATATTTCACTAATATATTTTATATTTGATTATTTTAGTAGCAAGTGGCAGCAGAGCTACAGCTGTTGCTTCACCCACTAACCAACAGGACCAAGAGGTAACTTTGCAGTCAGCAGCACCACAAATAAGTAAGTTTGAGCTTTGTTATTCATATAATTCCTATTTACATACATTATCTATTTGTGTTCCGCTGTTTTATCCACTATTTCAAGACAAAATGGTCTGTGTGCCAATTTTCATATAAATCTTCTGCTGTTTTAGTGTGATTAATAAATAAACAAAAATCTTTGCAAATATTGACAACGTACGTCAAAAACGTAATTGTACGCTGGTATTCTCACAGAATACCAGCGCAAAATAGCAGCTTAACACTGCTGTGTTTCGTATGATGAGTGTAGAGAACCAGAGACCCTTTTTACTGGAAACGAGGCATTCCATCTTAGTCCTCACGCCTGGCAACACATCTCCATTTTGATTCGTAATCGAGATTAGATGTAGATGTCTATGGGCCACAGCAATCATTTACCATCAGGTGGACTGTGTGCTCGTTTGTCACCCTTATCCTATAAAAAAATCACATTTATACTATTGGTAAGATTGTGATCATTTCATGTGTATTTCATTATTTCAGCAGTGAGTGGCAGCAGAGCAGCAGCTGTTATTACCTCACCACCTACTGTTCAACGAAAGAGGCCCAGAAGGATAAGGAGTAAGCTTGATTTTTAATTAAGTGTTAATAATATAAACATTAGTTCACAAGATGATCAGCTTGAGCAGAATAAAGCTAAAAGTGATTTTAATTACAATAAAATAAATTTTGGGTATTTTTAGATCTGAATCCTCGCCACTCTGTTGCTGAGCAAGCAAATATGGCACGTCAGGATTTTTTGGCAGTTGCAGAATCAAATGCAGAAGCAATTAGGGTATGTTATAATATTACATCTATATTCTAAGCTAAACAGAAGAAAAAACCAACAATATATATTTTTATGTGGTAGAGCCATTCTGCAGCTGTATTAGTAGTATAGTTGTAGCATGAATAGGTCGGCTTGACTGAGGAAGGACCACGCTCGCACGGAATACCAACGTAAAATAGCAGCTTAACACTGCTTTGTTTTGTATTGTGAGTGTAGAGAACCGGATACCCTTTTTACTGAATTAGTTGGTCAATATGTTGTTATAATCTATATACAAATAAATGTGTTTATCTGTATTATTGTTGTTTAATAACTGCCTTATATTAATATTACTATACTGAGCTTAAGCTCAGTGGGTTATTAGCACACTATTAAAACATGAATAACTACTTTTTACATATTTTTTAATTACAGATGCTGGCAGTTGCAACTGAAGTGCAAGCAGCGGCTGCCAAAATGCAAGCAGAGGCGGCAAAAGTGCAGGCAGAGGCGTCTCTTTCGTTAGCACAGGCTGCCAATAAAATAGCAGATGCCTTTATATTATATATAAATAAAAATAATAAATAAAATAAGATGTTTAATGTTTTATTTCACTTCACATAATAGAATAGAATTATTTTTATTCAATATAAATTTTTTTGTAATGTTTTTACTTTTACCACTGGTTCGAAAAAAAAACCTCTGTCCTGGGAAGAACCAGCAAGAAACCCAGCGGGACTTTTTTTTTTATAAAATCAATTTACAGTATATTACTTTGTACAATTAATATGAAACATTTACTATACACATCATTACTATGATAACATTATAACTAATATAACATAATACTAGATAATTAAGTAAAATTAGTATTTATGAGTCTTCTTTGTATTTGCTCTGCAATAGCTCGCCCAGTGCCAGTTACTCTTCCTGTAATAAAAACACAATTTTAAGATTATTCAAACATAGCATAATACTATAGATAATTAAGTAAAAGTAGTATTTATTAATCTTCTTTGTATTCGCTCTGCAATAGCTCGCCCAGTGCCAGTTACTCTTCCTGTAATAAAAACACAATTTTAAGATTATTCAAACATAGCATAATACTACAGATAATTAAGTAAAGGTATTATTTATTAATCTTCTTTGTATTCGCTCTGCAATAGCTCGCCCAGTGCCAGTTACTCGTCCTGTAATAGAAACATGCAATTTTAAGATTAACAAAGGTAATATTAGATTAAGACAACAAAGTCTAATCTAATATTACCTAAACAACATTATTACCTGTATCTTCCAAGCCATCATCATTATAGCTATCAACAATGATTTCTGTGGATGTGGTGACATATGGTTCCAGCAATCTATATTTAATACGCATGTTGTGTAGTACTGCACATGCATTTACTATTAGGCCAGCAGTGTATGGCTCATACATTAACTGGCGTTGATGAGACAGACACCTAAAAACAGACTTTAGCACACCAAAGCATCTTTCTATGATGTTTCTGGCTGAACCATGAGCATCTGTGTATCTACGCTCCGGCGTCCCAAGGTGTTGATTTTTTATTGGGGTCATCAACCATGGCTCCAGAGGATATCCATCATCACCTAAAAGTTTAAACATCGAAATTACATTCGGCAGTCTTACAGACATTCCATTCTAGTAAAATTGGTCTTTAACTTACCAAGTAACCATGTACGGCGATCCCCATTGTCAAAATGTCGCTTCATGGTTGAGCGTACAGGTGAATTTGCCCATATGTGAGCATCGTGTCTGGCTCCTGGCCATTTAGCATTGATGTTCAAAATTAACAGGTCTGGGTCACACACCTAAAATAATTTAAAATATACTTTTAATTAGGGGTGTACCTATTTGTGCTAATAAATAAGTAAATAGATTTATTTATTATTGATGATGATGATGTTCCAGAGTGTAACTAGGTGCAATAAAATTACAATTTAAGCCCTTAAGACTAATTAGTATAATTTAAACTTTTTCACCTAAACTGCTGAGTAAAATGTATCTATTAGACTATTTTTACTATCAATAATAAGGGGAAGATACTTTGTTCATGTTTTCAAAGCAAGTTATGCAGTCTATAAATAGCCTTAAAACCTGTTGATCCCAAATTGTTCTCACTTAGATTTTGATATTAGATTACTCATAAACATGATAATTGCTAGTAGCCATAATTTTACAATAACATGTTTGACTGTGAACTGTGCTGATTAAGCTTTTGATATTGGATTACTGAAAACATGTTATGAAGTATAACATTACAGAAGACACTGACTCCACTATAATTAATTGTTATTGCTGGTTAAACCAAGGTGTCATATTTTCAGTCAACAAACTTGTTTTAACCATCCTATAAAAGCCCTTGGATTTAGAATAAGATTTATTATAATTACAATTCTCATCATAGTAATGTTATCACTTAGTTAAGGAAATCAGTTTTGCACTGAAATATAACATTATTGTAGTGTAAATTTCATGGAGACATATTTAGTTGTTTTAAAAAGCTTCAGCACCGCTCCTGAAACTTAACTAGCAAATAAATAGGTAAACAATAACTACTGAAGATTAAACTTACAACTTGTACATTTAATGAATGTCCCTCATGGTGACCGCTCACATATGCCTCTTCATGCAACTTTGGAGCTAGAATTTTTATGTGTGTGCAGTCTATGGCTCCTATCGCATCCGGAAATGGCTGTGGGGCATTCCTAAATTTTGCTTTAGCTGCTCGCCGCCCTTCAGGGGTCATAGGGAATTTTATATATTTTCTCAATAATTTTTCATTAATAGCTTCGGTTACAGCATGTACTACTCGGCTAACCGATTTTTGGCTCATGCTGCAACCCCACTGTAAGCCAACAGGTAGCTGATAGCACCCACTTGCATAAAATCGAAGTGCCGTCTGTAGCTATTTAGAAGAAAATGAAACTAAGAGTTAATACAAACGAAAAAGAGTTAGTTTTTAAAGGTATATAGGCATTTACATGATGACACTCACTTGGGACTCTACAGAAAGTCCGTACGGCTGTTGTTTTTGAAGAGATGGCCTAAGTGCACCTACGAGCTCGCTAAACATATCTTTTGTAACTCTGTAAAGGTACAAGAATTCACTATCCTCTAAATCCAAAGGATTTTCACTTTCGCGCCGGTTTCGTGCGATTTGCCGCCGCATAACCATAACACGCCTGTGTTCTAGCACTGATAAATCCCATGCTAGATATGATTCCGCCATTATTACTTAATACTTTTATAATTATATATTATGATAGAATATAGATTTTAAATCGATAAAACTCCAAAACAAATTTTTAAAGAGGCTTATGATCGTAACGTACACTTATCGGGCTCTCAAAAATGGTTGATAAAATATTTGCTAACATATCAATAGATTGTAAAGTTTTCAATAGTGTTGTTACGGTAACGTCATTAAATTGATAACTTTGACAGTAGAGACTACCAAATATTGTTATATTAGGATTGTTATGACTTAACAACCGATATTGGTTGTTAGGCGATCGCTATCTATGTCGAGACTGCAGGCACTGGACTGACAATAAACATAGAAGGTTATCTAACTCTCAAAATAGTGTGTCGTGTGATGATAAATGACGGTGCATATATTTATCGTGTATTTTTGTGTTAAGAGTAATGCAGTAATTTTTAAACAATTATTATTCGTTTCGTCTATGTGAAGACTTAAAAAACTAAAATTTATAAAAAAAACACAATTTTCTTGTGTTGCATAATGGTGACATAATTCTTCAAATTCAGTAATTCTCATGAGCTCCACAAGACAGATAACTAAACATTTTCATATGAAATCTAACGTAGCTTTATAAAAGTTGGATAACGGTTGCTTGATATAATTATAGGAAGTGTTATGTGACAATATTTAAACTGTTATTGTATTTCCGTCTTTTTATTCTTTTTCAAATCGCTTTAATTTATTATTATAGCTACTAGTGGATTATTGCATTCACTGAAACGAACATTTCATTCAACACAGCTCCGCTCCGCGACAATTGCTCAGACGTGCTTGATGGACAATTGTTCATCGAGTCTGCACCCGTTGCCGTTTAGCGTGCCTTTTACGCGCTTTAAAAATAAAAATATACTCGTACTTTGACAGCTACGTTAATTTGTCTATTAAAGTCTTCGTAGAGTAATTACACACATAAAGTTTTAGTCTCTGTCTGTCCGGGATACTCTTCTAAATGGCTAAACCGAATGTGATACAACTTTATGAACAGATAGAGAGCAATGCAAAAGTAGAAAAAAGTAGAAAAAGAGATAAAAAATGTGAAAAACATATTTAGCAACAAACCACTGATGCGTTGTTTTGTGTATTTATCTAATACTCTAGAAACCGATAAAATTTTATTTAAAACGAAACTTCTCAGTTTTATGACATTATGTGACAAAAAAACTTCACCTCAATCCCTACTAGCGACATCTGGTGAACAGACCGATTATTAGCCCTCGTTTGTACCACAATCAGACCATGAAATCGTACATCCAGTACTCCAAATGTAAAACTTTAACCATTATTGTACCGTATGAATAAGAATGTAGCCTACTTTTCGAAATATCAAATTTCAAAGTTTTTTTTTTTTTTTTTTTTATAGGATAAGGGTGACAAACGAGCACACAGTCCACCTGATGGTAAGTGGTTGCTGCGGCCCATAGACATCTACATCTATCCTCTGTTACAAATCAAAATGTAGATGCGTTGTCACCCGTGAGGACTAAGATGGAATGCCTCATTTCCAGTAAAAAGGGCCTCCGGCCACCTGCACTCACCAAGCGAAACGCAGAGGTAAACCTCTACTTCACGCTGGTTTTCTGTGAGGTCGTGGTACCACCCCGGTTCGAGCCGGCCCATCCGTGCGACAGCAAAAGCTGCCGCGTGGCTCTACCACTGTCAAAAGTAGTGTGCAATGATGTAAATGTTCGCTCCTCGCCCTTCCTATATCTAATCTTTATAATAAATGGTTAGAAATTACTATTACTCAATACTTTCGATTAAAAAAATAACGAACTCGGCTCTTCTGACCGTGAAGTAGAGTTATAGCAAATATATTACCTATATTGTTTTATTCATTTTCAAGCAATATAGACTATTGATTGCTTTTATTTATTTATTATTATTTACTATTCTTGCGAAAATGGAAGAGAACAATGAGCACCGAAGAAACCCATGAAAATACACAAGTATATTTTTATCACATTAACCTAGGTAATGTATGACGTATTTTTTTATTTTGAACAGCAATCATTCCATGTAAAAGCTGTAGTAAAACCTAGAATGCGTTTAACTAACATTAATCATATAAGACTCCAACAAAAACTTTAAACATTAATTCATTCGGTGTACACAGAAACATTGTCAATAAAGCTTTTTTAATCCACAGTTGAATTTGAGTTTCAGCTGCCACGCTTGGTGGACTGGTTGTTAATTGCATTAATACCATCCTTTTATTTTTGAATACCTGGTATCAATAAATGTTTATTATCTTTTTTCAATTAATAGGTCGGGAAAAAGTTTTTTCGTATTTTATATACCAATTTT